GGGGGGGACGGGCCCTTCGCCCCCGATCGTGCCGCGGCCGCCGGCCCTGGGTCGCTGGGGGCTTGGGCGGCCTCGTGCGGCCGACCGCGCCCCGGGGGACGGCAGGACGCGGGGTACCTGCGGAGCTGGCACCTGGGCCCCGACGGCGGAGGAGCCGGGCGGAGCTGCCGGGGCAGAGACTGCTTAGATCGGCGCGGGCCGGGCTGGGGAGGGATGCTCGGGCTTAGCCTCGCCTGCTGGCGCTACCCCAGGGTTAAGGGGCAGGGAGAGGGGCACCCACAGGGAAAAAGGCGGTGGCTTTGCTCGTTAGTTTGGTAACAGCACCGGGGGGTTCGGAAGTGAAGTTTGGGACCTTTGTCCCGAAAGTAACCAGTCAGACCCGAGGCTGGCGGTTCGGGGTTCCCCCGGAGTCTTCGCTCCGGGAGGCGCGTGGCGACGCCGGGCTTGGGCAGGGGGACACGGAGGGTCAAGTTGGGTTTGTTTCCCATCCGCCCGAGGGGAGCCGCGTGCGGCGCTGTCGCCGGCCCCGGGGGTAGAGGGAGTGCGCGCAGGAGAAGGAAACTGGTCGCGTCTCTGACAAAGGCCCCCCTGTCCCCCGCGCGCACCACCGCCAGTCGCAGGTTGCAAAAGTTGTGCGCACTGAGGTTTCCGCTAGGAGAGGGAACGGTGGTGGGAACTTGTTTTCTTCTGGCTGAGGAATTCCCTTCGTCAGTCGTTCATATTTACGTGTTTTCTTCGCGGAGACCTCGGCCGCATACGAGGGCGTTTCTGTTTATCCAAGGGGAACGTTGCATCAGTGCCGTCCCCCGACTCCACTCACCGGAGGACTCAGGGGTCAGGGGAGCTCGTGGCACCTTCCAGTAGCTCCCCTGGGGAGGGCAGTCTGCCTTCCGGTTAGTGGGGCGAACCCCTCTGGGATTCTGGTTAGGGCCGGGAAGGCTTCCCGTGGGAAGGGCCCTGTCCCCTCGGGGATTCTTGAGTCCATCTTATAACGTGAGTGTAAACATCAGGGTCACCTTGGTGTCTCTACAGTAGTAAGTTCTGGAAAATCAGGTAACAGTGGCAGTAGGTAATCAGATGTCTTAGAGAAACGCTTGACGGGTCCCAGACATTCTGTTCTCAGGCTTATGGCCCACGAGCTCGGAGCCAGCGTTTGCCTAGGATGTGCTCACTAGCTTTCCAGTTAATTTCTGTTCTCTTCCAACTCTGAGACTCTGTGATAGGAAGGAGAGTTGAATCGTGAGCGGTAACGCGCAGTCTCTATCCACGGGTCTCCTGGTCCGAGGCCCCCCGCCTGGTGGGTCTTCCCCTCCGTCCTGCTCCTGTGACCCCTTCGTCCTCGGAGTCCGGCAGACAGGTGTCCGAGTTTTGTGCTTTCACTCCCTTACGTCCTCCAGGCCTTCAGCTGTTTCATGGCATATCAATCTCTATAAATGTTGGTGTACCTGATATATTTTAACTCCCCTTTGCCGTGTTATTAGACTTATTTTTCTCAGACCTAGCTGGGAAACATTCTCCAGTGAACTTCCCGGCACATGTGTTTGGTAATGTCCTGGGGCCCAGCTGCGGGTGCTGTTATTTCTTTGTTTCTTGTTTCTCATGCCACATCTTGTTTCTTGTTCCACATCTTGTTTTTCTTTAACAGTCTAATCATTTGTCTACTTCACCACATTCACAGGCAAAACCATTCATTTCTATGATGTGAAACTCAAGTCTACGTTATTAAACTAATTTGACTTTTTCCAGAAACAGTCAATTTGTTGGCTTATAATTGGATTATCTTTCAATATTTAGGAATTAATTATACTTCCTTTTGCTAGAGGGCGAAGAAAGACTCTGGGATTAAATATTCATATTTCCTTGTGGTTTCCATATATGACGTATTTCATAAGCATGAATAAAGTCATACCGTGTTCCCATCTGGTGTTCACACAGTCAGAATTTCCAGGACAAAGAAACCTTTTCATGATGATGCCTGAGGGCTGCCAAAGATAAAGGAGTCCTTGGAAACCATTGCTGTGGGTATTCTATTCTGGGTTAATTCCAGAGAGGTAGAATAGGCAAATGAATGAGAGGATTCCCTTCCGGGTTAGGCCAGGTATATGCCAAAGCTGGCATTACTGGTCGTTTGTGAGCCTTGATGCATGTCAGCCGCGTAGAGATGCGCTGTACTTGTAAATGGCAAAGCGCTTCTGTACCTTGAGCTTTTAAGAGAAATGTTTAACGAAGTGGGTGGAGAACTAGTGTTATCCTCCTAGAAGAGATGTGAGGTGGGAAACCCAGAGTCGGGTAGTTTAAGTTCTGAGAGGCACCTGCAGAGTCTCCGGGAGCCCACCTGGATGTGGACCTGGCCTGCCCACTTTGAGGCCGTGTCACCCTGGGCAGGTGGCTTCGCTTTTTCTCTGCCTCGGTTCTCTCATCTGAGGATGAATAGCGGTGCCCGTTGCAGAGGGTTATCGTGAGAATTAAGTGAGTTAGTACAGGCCAGGAGCTAAGAGTGGTGCCCGGCTCTGCGGAAGTGCTCAGCACACGCGTCACGACTAGCCGTTAGCATAACTTTGCCCCCGGTCACTGGCCGGGGGAGGGCAGGCATCTCTGTCGGTTGCCGGCCAGGCCAGTCAGTACGGCCACCAGGGGCCCTGGGTGCCCTGCTCTGGAGCAGCTTCGGGAAATTTTGAAACGAGGGGCGCCAAAATGCCGCAGGCCCCACGGAAAGCCTGCAGGCCACCTCTGAGCACAACAGTTATTTCCAGGCCAGGAGGCCCACCTTGTCGGGACACTTCTCTCCTTTCCATCCACGCCTCACATTCGGGAGATGTGACTGTAAAGCTTAAGTTTGTTATGTTTCTGGCGTTTGTGTTTAGTAAACATCACTGATCCCTGCAGAACCTCAAGCGTGGCTGTGTTAGAATGCTTTACACCTTTAAAATTCACCATTTGAATGCATGCTCATGGGTCTGCGTTGGTTTGTTTTTTTATCACCAAATGCTGTGTGCCGTGGACGTCAGTGCCCACTGGTGCTGCCCTACAGGCGGACCCATCCATCCGAGGCAGATTTAGTTTTAACAGCTTTCAGTGCCGCCTGCCTCGGGGCTGCCTCTTCATGGCGCTTCCGACGTGGGGCCTCCGGATCTGCCTGGAGTCTGCACCCCAGGACACTAAGTTAGCCACTGGAACCACCGAGGCCTTCAGGTATTTGAAGTACGTGACCCCTTAGGCTGGCCCGAGGGCTGTGCTGCAGTGTTTGCACAGGCCTTTCAAAGCAGTCTGCCAGGTGTATAATTTAACCTTTGTGTCCTGGCTGTTAAGTTCAGTTCCTTCCATTGTCCTTTCAAACCCTGTTTGATGTCCGTTGCCACAAGGGACCTTGACATGCTTTTCTTTCACACCTGAGGGTAGGTTTAATAACCCGAGGGGAAGAGGGAGTTTAGGTGTTTGGGTTTGGCTGCAGTCAGTTGCATTTCTAGGGATGAGCACGCTGTCCTCAGTTTACAGTTAGCTAAAACCACCTGGAATGCACTGAGCTGCCGCTCAGTACGCAGGAAGGCCTCTGTTTACAGCTGTGCTGGGCCTTGAAACCTAGAGACGCACTGTTCCTCGGTGCTGGGACCACATGTTCCACTGGCAACAGGGTAATCAGAGCTGCTTAGATCCCCAAGTCCCAGACTTACAGATGCTTTTTTAACCAAGTTAAACGCCGGCAGAAATGCTATTTATTTGCAAGGAAAATCAATAAAAAGTCATTTTTACAGCAATGTAAACTCAGCAAGATTGAACAAGGGATTGTGTTTGCTTTTACTTGACTCCTGGTATCTGAGAAACAAGACAGTTGTTTGTGGAGGTCAAAAGTTCAGCGTCAGAGCCTAACAGGCAGCTTGAGACCTGGGCCGGCCTCTGACTGCGAGGCCTTGGGCGTCTTCCTGCTTGAAACGAGGCACCGACTGCGGCTCCCTGGGGGCGCTGCCAGGATGGGGCCCTGTGGCATGGGGAGGTGCTCTGTCAGGGGGCCTCTTATCTGAAAGGTGAGCCCGGTGCTGCTGGCAGCCCCAGCTCCTCGGAGGGACGGCGTCTGCTGCTTCCTGGAGAGCCTCTGGCCCCCCTCCCCCTGCGGAAGGTGTGGAGGGCCGTGCTGGCCCTGCACTTGGTGGAGAGCACAGCGGTCCTCAGACGGGACGCCCCTCTGCCACCGGCCCACGCCTGTCGGTGCTCTTGCCGCCCTTCTGGTTCGGGGCAGGTGAGCCCGCTCTGTAAAGATCTGTCCTGCAGCTTGGGGTCCCCCGCCCCTCACCCCTTCTTATCCTCAATCAGCAGCGTCTCCCTTTTAGGGTGACGTCACCCAGTCCCTGTGGCACTCAGCCATGCCTTGAAATCGCCTTTTTTTTTTGAAAAGCAGACTTTGTTTGTTTGTTTGCGGTACGCGGGCCTCTCACTGCTGTGGCCTCTCCCGTTGCGGAGCACAGGCTCCGGACGCGCAGGCTCAGCGGCCATGGCTCACGGGCCCAGCCGCTCCGCGGCACGTGGGATCTTCTAGGACCGGGGCACGAACCCGTGTCCCCTGCATCGGCAGGCGGACTCTGAATCACTGCGCCACCAG